TTCAAATTCAAGTGCTTTAGAAATTTTCTCGACGAGATTCAAGATTCTTGAATATTCAAAGGCGTTTTTGAAAATTCAAGCTCGTTCAACTTCAAGATTGGCGTTTAATTCGGAAACAAGTTGTCAAACCTCTGAATTGCGTTAGTAAACTCAAAACTAATGCGGAAAAGATTCGAGATCTACTTTGCGGCGAAGACCAAGGACTCGTGTTCTTCACGTTCTTGAGATAGTACGTCGTTTGATCCGAAATCAACATGTTGGAACTCAGATTAATGTTAATTCAAGTCAAATAAAGTCAAGAAGAAGATCAAACCGAAAATTTCGCTCCAAGACTTAAAATCGTTCGTGAAAAGAATCAGAGGAAAAAATAGAGATTGTAATCTGCAAAATCTATTTAATTCGAAAAATTCATTTGTAAAATATTTTTCGTGTATATAAGTTCAATACAAGAAATGTGTTGTTATATGGATACACGATATCAACATAGTTTATATGCATTAAACTGAATAGAAAAAATACGACAATTTATAGTCATGCTATAAAATTAATATAATATATAATTCCATATAAATTATCAAATGCCTATGCACACAACCTACTTACGAGCTTGTCTGGACCTAAAGTTTCGACATCCATAAAATGTCATCCAATTGAGCGATCGTTGGAGCTTGGGGTCTTGAAAAAACTGAGAGTTGTCGCGACATTGTAAAAAGTTGATAGTAACTAGTTTATGAGTGAATGTGAATCTTTGGTGTTTTGATCTAATAGTTTACCGTGTTTTGGTTTATAGATTTGCAATTCAAAACTTGTTTCTTCTTATTTTTCTCGATGAAGAAAAACAACACGCAAACAAAGAATGTTGTATATAAAAATATATTCAATATTGCATAAACAATTATTTGTACTACTTACCCTTTATTTTTAATACTATATTTTGTTTATAATTCGTACGGGTGAAAATGGGTAACAGATCAAAACAAGTTTTGATGACTTAATTTTTGTACTCACTCTAACTCAAAATTCTACTAAAATTCAGGTCAACTTAACCCTCCTCAATATTATCAATATAATTAAATAATACAAATCAATTATCTTCACGCATCACTTCAACTTTAATTCATTATTCATCGTTCATATATTTTGAACTATATATCACTTTCAATCATCTATTTTCTACATCACATCAACTTTAGTAATTACATTTTAAATATTACTAGTACAACACCCTTGTATTACACGAGTGCTTGTTAAAAATTATTCTTAAATTTTAAAATTAATGATAAAACTATATTAAATTTAGTTTACTTTTTTACAAAAAAAAATATTACTATATATTTTAGAATAATATGTGTTACTTATGACTTACATGTGTTATATTATATTAGTTTTTATAACTTATATCATATAACTACTTGAAATATAAATATATTAGTTGATAAATAATTTCATATTTCTAATTAATATTAAAAATAATTTTATTATTGTTATAAAGATAAATATAAATTATTTTTTTTTTATACATGCAATATGAATGTTAAATCGAAGCTCATCAAAAGAAGATTAATTTGATATATTACATATGTAAAACTGATAAAAAATACAAAAATTATTAACTTTTAAAATATATATACAATTAAATAGTTATAATAATGAATAATATTAAAATGCAATTAATACATGTAACATGACCATAAATAATTAATATATATATGGTAATCCGAACCTAATTATTTTTAGTTTGGAATTAAATTAAAATTTACCCAAACCTAATAACGAAGCATGTAATTTTGCCACATATGATTCCGAAGCACCAGAAACAGTCACGTAAACTCAGCGCGTTCTGAATTAATATATAGGAGGAGGGGATTTAAATACACATTAAAAATACACTCAATCAACTTTATTTAAAATTTAACTCATTTTTCCCTCAAACATCTCTTAATTATTATTAATATTATTATTATATATTTTTCTTATTTTGAGCGGACCAATGGTAGGTGGGGGTTGAGCTGGCATTTTGTAGGCCCCAATTTGACAAGGCTCGATTAAAATGCAAGGCTGAGATTAACTTAAATTAACCAATTGGCAACAACGGCGGAGAATCCTTGCAACTTGCACGATGACTGTGCACCGTATCCCATCCCATCCCCACCACCCAAAAATATTATTAGCAGCCAATTCCAGCTAGGCTCGGACGTCTCCCGAACCTCCCGGCTTTGTTGACCCCATAGCCATGCCAGCTGTTTACAGACTGTCTCGATTGTGGAAATCCCCTCCACAACCCTACTTAATTACGTAATTTGCCACCAACGGAGATTTGTTCTCTCTCTCTCTCTCTCTGCATTGGGCTGGCGACAGGCTGTCAAGCAAAAGTCCCCATTCTCTCTCTTCCAAAGACTACTCCTCTCTACCTCTCTACCTTACATTGATTTCTTCTCTTTACTGCTCTCTCTCTCTCTCTCTCCAATTCTTATGCTTTCTCTCACTAGGGTTTACTTTTCTTGGCCTTTTTTTCCCCGATTTTCGGATTCGCCGTAGCTCCACGGATCGTTGATTCGCAAGTCGTAAGCTTTGTGCTCGCTTTTTTTTTCTTCGTTTCATGTTAGTTTTTTTTTTTGGAGGTTTTTGGGTAATCTTTTGTATTGGGGCTGTTCTTTGGCCGTCTTGCAATTTTTGTCGTTGAATGCTGGTTCTGTCGTTTTTTCTTTTTCTTTTTCCTTTTAATTTGATTGGGATATGTTTGGTTGATATGATCTATCCAGAACAGAGATGATATGATCTGTTTGTTTGTTTTGTAATTTATATTTTTGTTGTGTTTATGGAAATTCTGGATATGGTTGATGATTCGTATTAATGTACCATGTTAAATTATATTACTCTAGGGTCTATAATTAGTTGATTATGGGAATCATATGGTTTTGAGAGATGTTTCTCCTTTGATGTGGGGATAGTATTATGAATAGGCTAGATGATGTGTTGTGAGGTTATTGAACATTAGCCGGTACGGTGTGTTATTATGCATAAGTGTTTACCTTCCACTAAAGAATCTGTACTGCTGTTGAAGGGTTTACCTCTGTTGTACATCATCACATAGAATGTATTAGAGTTCATATAATTGGGTATAAACTGGTTGTAAATATTTTAGGTGTAATAAGACTTGTTAAATATTAGATTAAATGAGTGGTTATATATGCTCGTAAGTTTCTTTCTGTGTGGGGCCTATACACGTTGCATGCGAGTCAATGTCCGACAAATTTTTAAATTAGAAAAGAACCTCGGAGAGTTGTCGTTATTTGCTTTTATGCTTTTGCGCGACACGTGTCTATAATCCTTCTAAGTGAATCTTTCTCAATAGTATTTTCAGGGCGATGTTTACTGAATTTGATAGGAAGGCTTGGATTCGGAGAAGTTACTTTATGTTAGGATACCGGATAACCTTGTTGACTTTAGTGCTTTCCACGTGTTGTTGCATAAGTGCACCCTACGAATATCCCTTGGTTTGTTCTTTTTTGTTAAGTTGGATGTCAATTACTTCAGTATATAAGGTGTCACCATGAATAATTAATTATGTGTTGATGTTCTTTTACCTTCTTCACGAAATGCAATACCGCCGTAATTGTGCTTGTTCATTTAGTGATTTCTATACAAACGGCTGTTGAAAATTTATTATGCTATATATCACTTTTCTCCCCCTTTATTTAATATCTCTCCTTATATAATTTATTGAAGGAGGTCCTTTTGATGTTTATATTCTGTCTTTCATATTTTTGAATTCTTCGTAAAACAAATTGTTCTTATCCTCTGGTGCTCACCCTGCTCTGATTTATATCTTTTAGCATGGCTACAATACAAATATAGTATTTATCGAGAATTATTGCTTATCACGATGCATGCACATGTATGACACACAACATTTGTATGTAGGTCATGCAAACTCAGTGCTTAGATTATCTATTTTCTATAACTTGTCCAATCCATCTATTGTCGGGAGAAATAACTGATTTTACTCAAAATACCCTTCTTGTCGCAGGCTGTCAGTCTGGATGCTCCTCACATACTACTACTTGAGATCCTCTGTTCTTCGTTTGAGGATCATCTAAGCTACTCTTGAGCAGCCGTGTACGTTCTCCCTAGAGCCGCTGTGAGTCCTCATCTATTTCGATCTGTCATTGTCAATCATTGTCTGCTGGCTGACAGTCTCTCAACGGACGGAGGACTTCCCGTGTCCATGCTGGCAGAGAGCATGCGTGGTATTCGTGCCTTGGGTAATGCCCGTAACAAGAGCTGTTGCTGATGCACTCGGCGTGGTGACAATCTGTCTAGTGGCCGCACTGGTCCTTGTGGGCTTATTTTGCATCATATATTCATTTTATTTCCGCAGTCGTATCCACAGACAGGGTCTCGTTCAGCTCAGCTACTTCAGCGGCCCTTGGATCATCCGCATTACCTACATTTTATTTTCCATCTGGTGGGGCGTTGGCGAGATTGTCCGGCTCAGCATTTGGAGGCAGGACGGGAGATCCCTCGACAACCCGACGTCTGGTTGGCGGGAAAACATATGCAAATGCTACATAGTCTCAAATCTGGGATTCGCGGAGCCGTGCCTCTTTCTCACTCTTATATTTCTCCTCCGTGCATCCCTGCAGAGCTCGGGCACTTTGGGCCCGAAATGGAACGTGAAGACTGCCGGCTTTGTTCTCCTGTACGGCTTCCCCATGTTTGTCCTTCAGCTAGCTGTGATCCTGATCGGGCCAGAGTATAGGCGGAGACTGCCATCTTATTTCATCCAAGCATCTTTTGTTTCTTCTGCCCAAACAAATACTGATACTGATGTCGCCTTCTGCACTTACCCTTTGCTTAGCACCATGTTTCTTGGCCTGTTTGCGACCGTTCTGACCGTCTACCTCTTCTGGCTCGGTCGGCGGATCCTTCATCTGGTCATCAACAAAAGCTTGCAGAAGAGAGTGTACACATTGATATTCTCTCTTTCCAGTTTTTTCCCTCTCAGGGTCGTTTTGCTTGGTCTGACTGTGCTGCCTCATCCAGATAGGCTCGTATTTGATGTGGTAGCGTTTTTGGCTTTTCTTTCCCTCCTGTGTTGTGCTAGTGTGGGGATCTGCATGCTCGTCTACCTTCCCATTGCAGATTCTCTGTCGTTGAGGAGTTTGGAGAGGGACATCGAGGCTAGAAGGGGGGTGAATGACGACACCCTCTCTTTGCTTACTAATCAAAGTCCTCTTGAAGATAGTCTTGTGAGTGGTGGTAGTCCCAAGAGGAACTCGTCGGGGTCGGGAAAAAGCGGGTCGATTTCTTTTCGGGCCATGGAGACTGACGAGCCATGCGGGTCGGGATTTGTGGAGCTGAGCCTGTTCAATCCTGACCAGCAGTTGATGACCCCATTTGGGTCCCCAAGGCTTGGCGGGTGGAAGATGGGCCAACCTCCCAGGTGAGAGGTCGAAGGTGGTGATTTTTTTGTGGTGAACTCAGAAAACTGTGTTTGTAAAGGATTTAGCTTTTCATTTTTTCCTCCCCTTTCTCTGTTTGCCCTTTTGTTTTGTTTTTTAAATAATGATTGCTAATTTTGATTTTGGGGTTTTCATGAGGTAGTTGTCTGCTTGTTATTCCCACCTTATTTTTCATGGTGGAATTGATAATCTGTCTGTATCTCTTGAAATTTGGCTGCTGATGACGATTTTACAGCTTTTACTGATAATGGTAACCACCCTCTTCGTATTTTGATTATTTATTTGCTGTTTATTTTTTGTGGTGTTGATGATTTGAGTTCTGTAGCAGGTGTCGTTATTAATCATGGTTTTGCCGGCACACATGCCTTGTGGTGGTACCGTTTTAGTCTTGATTAGATGAAGATTTTAAGTACGAAATATACTCGTTTTCCCCAAGGGAATATAGTGAAAGTTTTCCAATTCAGTTGTGTTGTGTCAAATGGCGTAATTTCGATACCGCCCTGCAGTAAGAGGCTTTTAACCCTTGGTTTCATACAGTGCAAATCAAGGCACATATTACCTGACAGGGTAGGTCGAAATTTCAATCAAATGGGTTTTTATTTCTGGTCTGATAATATATGTGTGCAGTGTCAAGTATCATCAAGGTTTTATCTGATAACGTGAATCTTCTCTCATATTATTATGTCAAAATGAAGTCTTCCTCCCAAACTGTTAACTCGTGAGTCATAGGGGTTTGGTTAACCGAATTTTCCGTAATGCAGAAACTGAAATAACCAATTCTAAATTTTCAAATAACTGGACCGGCTAAAGTGTAAGTAAAAGAGGAATTTGCATCCCTTACTTTAAGTTATGATATATATTACACTTATACACCTATAATAGTATTATTTATAAATTTATCATAACATGAATAAAATTTTGCACTTCTACATTAAAAGTGATTAGACCAGATGTAACCGTTACATAAGAATTATCCGGACAAATCTATATATATATATATATATACAATAATGCTTCTGGTAACACAAAACTTCTCGACCGGCTGGAACGTGAATAATCGCCTTCCTTCTCACCGGTTGGACGCCGTGCACCTACAAAGAACTCTCACACAGGAGGGGTTTTCCGGTGAAGAGCCTCCGAAGCTTAAGTCAGTGTATGTTCAATCAATTCCCAAGAGTAAGTAGTAGAATGATCGTGTTGAAGAAGAAAGACTCACCCCCTTTATATAGGGGT